GTAGTATTATAGGCGCATGTTGAGGATTATCTCGATAAAGTTACTTAAGAAAGTTTTACGGAGAATAAGTAAAGAGAACAAACTAGTTCTGACATATTGTTGCTAACTACAATATCTAGGATATATAATGCACAATGAATATCGAAATGATCTACTTTGGACCATAATTCAGGGTAAGGTGCATGAAAAGAGTTCCAGGAAGATGAAAAATATCCTGCTTTATAGCCTACGAAACTAGGTTAACCGCTTAAGTTCCACTTCCGGACTTTTTAGAGGACAAATACAAAATAGCCATGTAGTGTTTAATATCCCTAACGGACAGAGACCATAAAAGAGTGCATTTTTTTGCATCTTTTTTTATGATTATTTCCAATTGCGCCACATTGAAAGCATTCTTTACATGTAGAGCTATGATGGCTACATATCGTCCTTTTTTTTGGTTTGATTTTATTGATAATTCAATTTATTTTATAGATGGTGCACCTGTCTTTTCTAAAGCCATGTTGTTGATCCGAGCTAATTCGTTTTTCTTCGAGTTATCTTTCTTGTCTGTGTTTATGGGATTTCACCAACTTTTATATATTGTAACTAGAACAATTTTCTTTTGTTATTTTTTGTGTGAATGCTACCGTTATTTGCTCTTGGCTAGTGGCTACCCATAAACTATTCATTATGAGTTTTTTAAATTTTAAGAGTTAATAAAATTCATCTTAAATAATTACAACTAACACTCACACACTGTATTTATACAAGCATTGGTGCAAAAGAAACGAAATGGAATGTAAAAAACATTGAGTTTGTCGTCCTATTCCTGCAGATGAGTAGTCTTTCTCCATATTATTTATGAATAAAAAAAAATATCTCAGCCAAGTGTTATACCTTTTATTGGAAGATTATTTTATTCCTTAAATATAAGAATACGTTTAGTTACATTTTATAAACATGAAACTTACGACTGACTTTCGCAATATACTCAAAATAAATTTTGAGCCACATATTTTGTCACATCTCAGAATTTTATTTAAGTTTAAAAAATTATTTAAATGGAAAAATTATCACAAATAGGTAACTACCAAATTTATGTTACATTTAAGTTTCATTTTTTGTCTTACCAGCATGTTTCTTGTGTCACTAATATTTAACTTTCGGTGATCAAAGTCATATCTAAGTAAATAGCAACATTACATGAAACACAACAAGAGTTACAAGAGACATTTTACATTTATAGCCAAATTCCTGCATAGCCCGACATTTCGAGATACACATCTAGAAGTTCTAAAGTTCTAGACTTAGAATTATTAACAACCTTTTCAAACTATCGTAATATCAAAATATGAGGTGCAGTATTCCAAGCACTACTTTAGATATGAATTATAACGATAAAGTTTTGTGAAGCAGAAATTCCTAGTCATAAAATAGTTGACAATTCCTGCAATGGATATCCTGATACGAAATCAGTCAAGGTTATAATAATTATAATGTTGCGTGTAATTTTGAAATTCATTAAAATCGTATACAAACAAAATGTTTATTTGATCAGACCTATCTTCCGGGAGTTGCGTGTGGAAGTTATTGTTTTTAAAAGGTCAGTATTTCTAATAGTTTCCTTACAGAAACTGTCGGAAAATTCATTTTATATTAAATTTATATCATTTCGTCATAGATTATTTACGAATATAAACTACTCTATTTATAGTTCATTTATAAACTTTGTTCTTGGAAATTGGAGTATATGACGTAGAAATTGATCGAGGAATATAAAAAATGGCTTACAAAGTCGGAGAGAACAAATATATGATATGAGAACCATACTAAAACAAGAAAAAAAAGCATAATATATTAAATATTTGAGAACGTATGCACCAAACGGTTAGGAATAGACTCCATAAATGGAAATCTCCTGGACCAAACGAAGTTCACAACTTTTGGTTAAAATAGTTGTAGTGATAATGAGCGCTTATTAATAATAATTATTTATATGAATTTTCAATATTTTTAATATTTGAAGGGCTGAGTGGATGAAGGAGGTATGTAACAAAAAGAATTTTTTTTCAAAAAGTTTTGAGATATTTGACCCCAAAGCTTTCATTGTAGAACATTTTTGTAGTTATTGGTTTTCAAATGCTTAGCTAATCATACTATTTCCATGAGTGGTGAAATTAATATGGAAGTTGAGAAAATTTTTAGATTACTGCTAACCAGACAAAAGAAAAAAGATGTTGTGTACGTATCTCTTTCTTCGACTTCAAGTAAGGTATTTTTGTTTCAAATAAAAAAAGTACACTGTTTTCGAAATAAACGTATTTTGTTAATGATACGCATGTCCGTATTTAATTTTTCGCAAAATAAGCAGGTATCTAGGTATGCTGTGAACTTAATGACAAAGTTAAGTCGTAAGTACGAATGTGTTTACTATTTATTGTCAAAGTGCAGTGCGAGTTATTATTTGTCAAAGTGTTATTAAATTTGTTATTATTATTTTCTTATGTAGAATGCGCGATATGATCTGTTTGTATGCCCAGGAAAATTTTTGTTCTCGTAAAGCAGCTCAACGCTATTTCGAATTTTATCCCAATAGCAAGGAGCCAAACCATAAAACTATTAGATCATTCTTCGACAGAGTAGGCGAAACAGGGTCATTTTATCCCAAAAATAAATAGGAATGTTGGAAGACCGAGAGTAATCGATGCGGATATGGAGGATGAAATTATTGTTCGTGTTGCAGAAGATCTAGAATTCAGTACAAGGCTTGTTTCTGCGGCCACTGGTATGAGCAAATCTACGGTGTCAAGAATAATACGGACAGAAAATCTGTATCCGTATCGTTTTACTAAATTCCAGAATTTTTTACCACATAATTTTTCAGCAAGGCTCCGATTTAGTCAGTTTATGATGGAGCGGCATTTAGACGATAATAAAATTTTATTTACCGATGAAGCCACATTTACTAGAAGACGTGTGTTTAACTGGCGCAATAACCAAGACTATGCGATAGAAAATCCTCATGCATTTCAAGAACATCATTTTCAACATGAGTTTTCCATTAATATCTGGTGTGGCATATTTGGGGATTGTATTATAGAGCAATTCGAATTACCAATTAGGCTTCACAGAGTAACTTATCTAAATTTTTTGAGATAAGATTTTTTATCAACACTTTTAAAAGACATACCTCTAAATTTGAGACGTAACTCTTGGTACATGCATGATGGTACCACATTATAGTCTAGAAGTTAGAAATTATCTAGATGAAATTTATCCTCAAAGGTGGATTGATAGACGTAGTGTATACCCATGACTAGCACGCAGTCCCGAACTGAATCCCCTAGACTTTCACTTGTGGAGCTACCCAAAGTAACTTGTTTATAAAAAAACATAACCGTAAAAAAATAAATAACCGTCAAGAGTCATGGCAAAATATTATAAAGGAAGTTAACGTAATTAGGGCCCAAAGAAACTCATTATTTGAAATAAAACGAAACTTACACAAATGATTTAGATTATGTAGTTTATCTAATGGTGAACATTTTCAACACTTATTGTAATTTTTTTTGTTTAATTTTGAATCATTCACTTAGTCAATTGTTTTATATTCACTTCATTGTTTAATTTAATTTAAGTTCTGATTTTTTTTAAAATTTGTTACTGTGTAAAAAGTTTAATTAAAATAATTGTTTCAATCATATCCATTTGGTTTGCAAAAATTATCTACTACTAATACATTTATTATTAATGGTATTTAAGAATTTTTGAATAATGTTTGAATTTACATAAATTTTTGTCATTTTTTTTCATTTTATACACCTCTCTAAAAATACGATTATTTCGAAAACGGTGTACAACATTTGATTTGAAACAAGAATACCTTTTTTATGCAGAATTAAATATTATTTAATGATTTTTTCCTTTAATGTTTATACAGGGCGGACAAAAAATTATAGCCACATTAAAGAACCAATGTTATAGTAGGTAGCACCACCTATAGCGCCTTGACAATGGTAAAACTAATATCATTATCATATTAGGCATACTAAATAATGACAAGATACTAAATTTCACTTAAATCGGTTTAATAGTTTTCAATATACCCCTGAAAATAATATAAAAAAAATATTAATGAATCACCTTGTAGAACGAAAACTAGAAACATTTTGCCTAAGCAACTTAAGCTGAAACGCCTTATTTTGATGTCAGCTATTATCCATTAGCTAAAGTCCAATTAATTATGGGACACCCTGTATATTGAATAAATGTAAATAGACAATAAGCTTAAGTAAGACAGTTGCTGACATGTAGTAATGCGAGATTACTACATGTAATATACTCAATATACCCCTGAAAATAAGATAAAAAAATAATAATGAATCACCTTGTAGAACGAAAACTAGAAACATTTTGCCTAAGCAAATTAAGCTGAAACGCCTTATTTTGATGTCAGCTATTATCCATTAGCTAATGTCCAATTAATTATGGGACACCCTGTATATTGAATAAATGTAAATAGACAATAAGCTTAAGTAAGACAGTTGCTGACATGTAGTAATGCGAGATTGTTTCTACCCAATTTGGGCAAACCTGTAATTTTTAAATTTGTTGAAATAAAATACAAAAGTATCCATCTGTTGTGTTGAAATTATATCTTGGAAAATTGGTTGGTATAACTCAGAGAAAATCCAACATCATAATATAGGTGAGAAAATAGAAAATCAAGTTACTAACCTAAAATATTATTTTTAGAATCAGGCTCAGACCTTTACTTTAACGTCGCTTAATTTTCTCAATAAAAAAACCGATACAATTGCACAAAATTAGCAAAAAACCATCTCTTTGCTAACCAGAATTATGCCGACAATAATATGTGTTTTTGGTCGATATCAGGAAAGACGATTTCCGAACAAAAATTTTTTCTGTTTTAAAAATGAACTCACATTATTTAACAGGCGTATAGTTTAAAGACAAAAAAGATCGTTTTAATATTAACACTACTATTTAAGATTTACCTGTGTTAAAAGCATAGGCCCGGAACCATTTTCGTTGATTCTGAAAATGAATGGTCCGTTCCCGAAACATTCTTCAAACATCCTTGATTTCACTGTCCATACATTAAGGTTGCTTCAGATAATCTAAAATAACAAAATAATTAACCAAAAGCAAATTTGTTATTTAATAAAGATTCAACTTAAAAAGTAATATATAAAGGATATAAAGATAAATAACTGACATAATAACAAATCTTCAGATATAACCTATGCATCCTTGGGTCAAAGGTACCTGAGGATGCATAGAAAAATATAGTATGCGATACCTGTCGTCGGTGATAGAATAAATTGATTATGAGTAAGTCTTATTCTTATTTCTCTTTACTCTAATTGAAGTTGACTCAACATATTCAAGATTTAGACTTAAGTATCTTTTGTCGGGTTGTACAGATTTTTATAGTTTATTACCAGTTTTAATTTATTGAGTGGTTTCTTTACGGCCACAATAGCCGCTTGGCTATCTCCATAAATGTTGATTCTTTTTGCATTGGGGTCTCTATCTACGAGTTCATCGAAGCAGGGCATCAGAGCCAAAACTTGCATTTAGTTGTATATATTCGTAGATTGTTTGGCTGGTTACGTTAATTTGTTATAATTACGTATCTGTCCAGACTGCTGAAAGTAGAATAGTAGATAGTAGATAGCAGAAGTAAGACGGATAGAGATATGGATTTGTCATTGAACCATATTAAGTCCTTATTATTATTTGGGACTCTTTGTTTTCCACGTGGTATAATTAAGTTAATCTTCTCAGTAAAGATCTGGTTTCATCATATCTGAGTTTATCTGGAAAATAGATTTCTTAAGTATAGTCCCAGTACCATTTGTGTGACTATTCAATACACAATTCGGCCTCCAAGTATTGTTTACTTTAGATCTCAGGATGGTATTAAAGGCTACCACCGAAATATAATATTATAGAGGACGGAAACCTATGATAGTATGGATTATAGTTTGACTGAGTTTATTTAAAAGCATATGTACGTATGCTCTGATAAAAAAACGCATCTGACACATGCTAACCAGATATTATATTTCCAATAGTCATAGAACATAGGCTTAGATCAATAAGCGATATAAGTAAAATAAGGTCGTTATTACTACAATAATTATTTACCAGAAAGTATTTAATTTGTTGGCTGTTAGGTATACATTTATAATTATGGCTATATAATGGATTGTTTATTGAGATCAATTTTTTTGATTACCTTTTGTCTTGCATGGACTTTTGGACTTGATTAATTTTTTTTTTTGGTTGTATCAATTTAGTTTCTAATATTGATCTTTTATCCTAATTATTCCAAACAATTTGGACTAGATCACGTTTTAAACCTGGGGTAGATGTATTTTCTAAATCAATGATTTCAGTTTCAGCAAGTTTTAGATTATTACGTGTTAACTTTGTGACTCCATTTTCGGTGATTTCTTCTTTGGACGAAGTAAGAACATTTATATGTGCACTACTGCAAAGTAAATAAAGAATTACTTGGTTAATTAGAGTTAACGGTATTGATTGGAAAGGTGTAATAATAAAGGGGTGAATAACACATTGTTGTGTCTTATGACCAGAGTGTTTGCATTTATAGCAAACTTTATTGAAGCTAAGAATAATACGATGGGTATTTACAAATCATCGTCAATCACTTTTTTGTAATCAGGGCATTGTAAACTTTCTAATAAAGATAAATAAATTTTTCGTCTGATGCTCAGGATGTGACTGAACGGAGAGGATCAGTTACGCCAATTCTGAGGAAAGTCATAGAAGAATTAGTTTTATTTCTAGTTTTTCCAATTATCGTATGAAACTGCCACGTGGAAGAGTAAGCCTGACATTAAAAAGTATAAGTTTTTCAGATGGTGTGATTCGTCTTCTTGTTATATAATTTTTGTATTTATTAAAATTGAGCCATCACTGTTTATCAATTTATCAATAACTTATTTATTTGATAAGTACAGATAGGCGAGATCGATGACTACATTTGACGAAACTAATTATATTTCTAGGACTAACGAATGATTTCTGTTGTAGAAAATAGTCTTAAAGTGATAGTCCATTAAGCAAATGAAAAATAATTAATTGCTTTTTTCTGTCTCGGAAATAATAATGAGTTTTGACTGAATGCGCTAAAATATATTTTATGAGTTGTAGTAATATTATTAATTTATACTATCAGTAAATACGGACAAATTGCAGATTTTGATAGACTTTCAATTTTGTTCTTTGTCATCTTTCCGAGTACGTCTTTTAAGATTACTACTACAGTAAATTTGTTTAATTTATTATCGTGTAAAATACTTTACGTCATTTTTATGGACTTGTTATTTTCTTGGACTATTATTTCTTCTTCACATACAATCAGAAGTAACAATCACCCGGAAAATCACTAAAAAGTTAGTATTTTTAAAAACTTTGAAATATATATATATAAATATATATATATATATATATATATATATATATATATATATATTATATATATATTATATATCATATATATATATATATATATATATATATATATTTATATATATATATATATATATATATTATATATCATATATATATATATATATATAATATATATATTATATATATAATATATATATATATATATATATACACTCTGACAGGTATATGACTTATATTATGTTCATGTTTACAAATTCTATTATTTATCCGTTGGCAATTATTTTGGATTATGAATGGTTTCGTCTATTTCGTGCCTTCACTAATAATTTTTTTATTGTTACATTGCATGTTTAGAATCTACTCTATACACATAGTAATAAGTATGTAGGCTGTAAGTAAATTTACGTGAGTTCACTAATAATTTTTTTTTGGTTACATTGCATGGTTATAATCTACTCTATACACATAGTAATAAGAAAGCAGTCTGTAAGTAAATTTACGTAAGTTAGGTACCGTCCAGTGAGGGTTCTCTAAGTATTATTGCGGTAGGTCTTCTGAACATAACCTCTTCAATCTTCTTTCGGCAAGTGGTTGGGTGAATAAATTATTTATGAGTTCATCGTTGTGATCCGACGTGCGATTTTTATATTTTATTGAGTGATTCTTTATTATGTCCTAAAGTAATGGGATGTCCAGATCATTGTGAAGTGTTTGGTTAGATATATAGCATGGAGCTTTACGTATCATACATAGTATTTTGGATTAGAATGTTTGAAGTATCTTCGTATTGGAAGGTTAACTACAGCCCTATGGTTCTATTCCATGTGCCCAAACTGGTATAAGTATAGCTTTGTACAGAAGCAGTTAATTTTCAAGAGAAAGCCAAGACCTTTTGGTAAATAGCCAGTTCATATTTTTTAATTGAAGATCTAGTAGTTGAAGATAAACAATCCCAGGATATTATTTGGAGTAGGCTTATAGGGCGATATGAATTAGCTTGCGTTGCGGGCTTACCAGGTTTCGGAATCATAGTAACTTGAGCTAATTTCCATTGTATTGGAAAGTATAGAAGATGTAGTATGCTGTTGTATATTATTGTTAATAACACCACTGCTAGGTAGCTTCTGAAGAAATTCTTTAGCTTCTGAAGTTATCAAATCATAGCCAGGAGCTTTCTTAGGATTTAACATTTTTATTTGTTGTCGAACCTCTGTCGGAGTAAATGTTGTCAAAGGGAGAGATAGTTGACATGGAGTTTCGAGGTACACTCTTATGTCATCATCTTCATTGTTATTAGTATCTGGTGCTGCGAATACAGTTGCAAGATGCTCTGCAAATACTGTTGTTTTTCTGCATTTGTGCGAGCCCAGGTCATATCTGTTTTTCTTAAAGGTGACTTTGTTATTGTCGGGTGTTTAAATTTTTTTATAGCTTTCTATATAAAGTGGTCTTCATGTGAGAGGTTCGAAACATTCATGTGAGATGTGTTTTTATGTATTTCTTTATTTAGTGTATGACTTATCGTGTTAAGGTACGTTTTATTTAGTGAATTTCTCGTTTGTTGCCGTATGCGTCGAGCTCTTCTTTTTTCTCTTATCTTAAATAAACGCGACGGGAATTGACCATGATTCGTTTTTAAGCGAAATACACGTGCCGAGAATGTGGTAGTCAAGTAATTTAATATTATTGGGGTGGGAGTGGTAAAGTGGGGTGTATCTGGAAATATGTATTTTGCTACTTTCACAATAATATCCCATTGCTGTTCAGTGTATTTACATTGGGATTTGTTTTGATTTGTCATGGTATCTGATATTTGGTAGTTCACGATAAGCAGTATCGTGTGGATTATTTAGTGTATATTAGTGTATAGTATTTGGTGATAAATTAAATTCTATCTATTATTTTACTATAGTCCTTCACGCCATATATAAAAATTAAAGGGTTTTTTAAGATTGATGGACTTTTATTCGTATCATTTACGGAGTTTTCCTGTGGAAATGGCTGAAGTCTGTTTGAGAGTGTAATTGGAACTTCTTCTTCTTCTTGTGAATATTGGCGTTTAAGCCTTTTTCTGTTTGCCATGAGTGTTTATTATTTTGAGAGTCTTTATGTTCTTCATCTGACATCAAATTATATTCATTCTGTGTTTCTGTATTGATTTTTAAGTGTAAGTTAGCTTGAGAGTTTAATGTAGAATAAGAAAAGTTGGATTGCTGGGTAACTACTGGCTGTACCTGATATTGTTGTTGATAATTATCAAAAGATATCATTTGGTTAACTGTTGGTTGATTTGAACACATTGGTGAATTTTTATTATTTATTTGAATTATTTGGTAACACAGATGTATTAGGTTTGTAGGCTCGTTCTGCATTACAGTTGGAGACTGCACTATAGGGTAGGTACTGAAAATCACTTGATCCTGGTCCGTTCCCTGTTGGAAATATTTTTACTGCACTTAAAGCTCACTTTATTTCACATTGTGTTGGGAATTTATCTTTATTGAACAGCCAGCAATTGACGGATTTGTAGTTTACTGTTTTTATTTGCGTAAAAACAACTTAAATTCCTACAATATATAAAATTAACAATATAAAAAAACTAATTCATTCCCATTACTTACTGTTCTCTTGCTGTCTGCTAAATTATTAAATTATTTAAATTTTTCCCTAATTG